TTACTAGAATATACTATACTATATAATAGAATTTTTCAAATATTTCTAATTTTTCAATGTTTAATTTCTTAATAAAATATTTTATTTATATATCTTTATCATTATGCTATTTTTATAATATATTAAGTTTAATTAATAGTATAATTATATTATTTATAGTATAATTATTTAATTAATAGTATAATTATATGTATATACAGATAACTTGTCTTAAAAATTATCTTAATTTACAATAAATAAATTACTTCAAACCAAACTAGGTGTTTCTTATTTTTAAATGCTGAAAATGATGCTGACGATGAAATAAAAAAATCCAACATGTCAGGTTTAATATTTAGATAATTAAGGTTTAATATTTAAGATAATTAAGGTTTAATATTTAAAAAATGGATTTTTTTTTATCTGACTTTTTTTGTAAAGAAAATTAACATTATCTTGAAATTTTAATTAAAAGTCATGAATGTGTTGTTCATTCTCTATAAAATAAATATTTTTATTTCAATATCTTACTTCTTAGTCATGTTATGAAGGATTTAAATACACAGGGTTTTTCTAAGATAACAAATTTTCCATTTATCTGATCAAAATTTCAAGATAACGTTAACCTTTTATACAGGAAAATGTAAAATAATGCAAAAGAGCCATTTTTTGTACATTAAATCTCAATTATTTCGGAAATCTGCTCTAATTTAACTCGGCATCGTTTACAGCATCCAAAAATTTATAAGAAACACCTTGTCTAGTCCAAAATAATTAAAAAATTTTTTTTTGAAAATTAATGTTATTTTAAAAATGTTTACGTAATATTTATATATGATTTTCATATTTACCTGACATATCTGTTGAGCTATAGAATTAATTTCAGACAAAGTAAATCTGTCTTTTCGTATATGAAGACAAGTATAAAGTGATATGCCTCTAGACAAACTAGTCACTAGAGCCAATTGAGGAGGTTTCGTACAAACTCCCAAAAATAATATTATATTGTCGTGTCGAGCTATTCGGTATGTGGCGACCTATAATAACCAAATACATGAAATATCTGTTATATAATTATAAAATATTCTTGATTATTAATAATTTCAGCATTTAATATAATCAACATAATTATATATTCTTGCCTCTAATCTAAATGTTTCTAATGTCTTTTCATCTTCTGAATAATAACTCATATTTAAAATTTTAATTGCAGTATCCCCATGCCAAAAACCTCTATGCACTGTAGCAAATCTTCCTTTTCCAATCAAATTTCTAACTTTTAATTCACTATATAAAATGTCCCACTCTTGCATCAATACCTATATAATAATAAAATATAAGTTTTAATTAGATATATTTTATATTTTTACTAAACTTTAATTAGTAAGTTTAATACATACGCTATTTTGTCGAGGCCAACGACATGGATTTTCAACTATTTCGCTGTCAGAACTTAAAGATTCCTGAGAATCAACTCTTTTTGATACCTCTGAATCTGAAGTATCATCCATATCAGTTTTCCTTCTATTATCATTTGAAATCGCTGATTCAGATTTGTATCTCTTCTCATGTAATTTTCCTGATAATGCCTCCTTTTTTATCATTACATCTAGAAGCAAAGTAAATTATACACCAATATTCTGAGAATAAAGTTACACATTATAATATTGTAATAAATGTCTTTATTTACCTGGAAAATGAAACTGTTTTAAAAACGAATGTGTACTGTGGCTAACAGTGGTTGATAGCAATGCTGGACTAGAAGGTGTTGAGCGGTTATGGCTGAATGTATTTAAATTAGAATCGCCCTAATAGATGTAAATAATTATTATATAAAGATTTTGCATCATTATATCAAATAATCAAAAATTATTCATTATATCAAGAAATATCACGAGTAATGTATAAGTATTATAGATTTTTATATAATGACGTAAATCAATACATTTATGTCATTATATAAAAATCTACTTATATATTACTCATGATATTTTAAAATAATTACTAAAAATATTCAATGGAAATTATAACGTACATGAACAGGTATATTCGTAGAAGATTGTGTGTATGACCGTCTCCTGTCTTTGCGATTTAAAGGGGGTAATAAGTCTACATTATTCGAAGATGTCATGCCAGTCCTCTTTAATACTGGGGAAACATTCAACGAATCTAAAATAATTTATTTTTATATAACTTACTTTTAAATTTTTGTTACTCTTGAAAAAACTTTAGTATAACTTCAAGAAAATATGAAAAGAAAGCTTAGATAAGGATCAGCACTCTGTATTAGTTGTAATGTTTTTACGTACGTTGTAAAGATTGTATAGATCGTTTAAACGCAGCAACAAATTTTCGAGGTATGCCACAAGAAGAGGGTACTTTGGACAGACATTCTGGGTGACACCTATATTTACATTCCTTGCATCTTAAAGTATTCACAAACACTGGTCTCTCACAATAGTCACATACTGTCATCATATTAAAACATTTGGTAAATCGATGAGTAATTGCATGACTCATGCCGCGAGATGAACCAGGAGTAGATGGAGAGTTTGGCACTTGGAGACTCGTTCCTAAAAATAAACAAACAAAATGATATTGTATTTATTCATAGGAGAATGCTAACAAGCTTTTCTTTTTTATGCACCTGTTCCCTCAAGATTATCATCACTTTCTGGATTTGTGGTACAGATTGGAGGTGGTGGTGGTGATTTAAAATGTGATCGAACAAATGACTTAACAGGTGATTTAACAGGTGATTTTATAGGTGATTTAATAGATGATTTAAGATGATTGAAAGGTAATTCAATAGGTAATTCAACAGGTGATTTAATAGAGAGAGGTGATTTAATGGGTGATTTAATAGGACTACTGTTGCTTGATAAGGGACTTTCTTCTTTTCCAGAGTCTGTTGTACCACAATCTAAATTTTGTTCTGCTGGTAGATTTCTTCTTATAGGAGAATCGTTGTTTTTCTCTACAGAAGAATTATTTCTAAAACTAAAAATATGTAATATTAGTACATTCAAAAAATAAACATTTTATTTTAAAATTAGATTTAAACTTATAACAAAATTAAAATTATATATATCAAATTAAGAGAGAGAGAGAGAGAGAGAGAGAGAGAGAGAGAGAGAAAGAGAGAGAGAGAGAACACATAATATGCTATTCTAAGTATTACCTAAATGATATATCATCATTATCAAATGATTGTATTATGTTAGCAAGACGACGATTTGCCAATTGTGATTCATGAGATTTTGACTTAGCTAACGGAAGCACTTCAGATTGTAATGGTCTCTTTTGTACACTAATCAAATGTTTTCTACATGGAGGAGGTGTTTTAACTTCTGGAGGCAGAGGTTTAACTTCTATAATAAAAAAAAGTTATATATTTAATAGATAAATTATTTTGATGTTAAATGTGAAGACATACTATATATTAAATATAAAAAAGGTGATTCCGAATAAATAAAGCAAATTTAAAAGAGTTGGATCTGGATAAATTAAATCTTTATTAAGTGTCCGGCGATGCCTTCTTAAAAATGCTAGGCAACAGTTTTTAATCTTGAACGCTACTTGATTTCAAGATTAGATTAAAAACAAATTATATTTTTTAATTTTACTTAGTTTATTTTATTACAATAAATATTCGAAATGGCGATCTGTAATCTTATTATAAATATTATGATAAATATCTACGGTACATTGACTAATATACTCTCAGAAAAATTCCAAGAGTATTCGAATTATATCACATATATTCATTACCCTGTTAAGAAGCTCATTTGTACTTTGGGAGTAAGGAATGCATAACTGTTAATAATACTTAACGACCTAACGCTTTACAGAAGCATCACAGTTCCTTCACAAAATTTAATTTAATGAGACCTAACAATCGTTTAAGATTGTCGCAATTGTCCGGAATTACCCTGTATATCTTCAGTACAATTTAATCATATTAAAATTTCGAGTACCAAACTGATTTAAGCATTGAACATATATTATTTTTAATTTTACATATATAATATTATTTTTAATTTAATCGGTATTCACTTAAAAATTTCCTTAACACTGGTGTTCGTAGGTTCAGTATATTTTAATACATTTGTTTTTTTAATGTCTTAATATAATTTATATGAATATTTAATTTATATTTATATATTTCTTTAATGTGTGTTTCAAATATTTAGTAAAATGATTCTTTTAATCGAATAAATAAAATCGTCACTCACCTCATCCGGGTGATGAGACGTTTTGTGAAAATTTATGCATCACCCATGATATGAGTGGCATGCAAATCAGTGTTAAAAATTGCTTCATACAATTTTTAAAATATAACAAAACACAAGAGATAATTAAAACACTTTTCACTTACCATATTCTAGCTCTCTCTTTGGTAATGAGATACAGGGAGGATTACTTGATATTGAAAAAGAAGTTGATATTGCAGAAGCTGGTATTAATACATCATTGTTGTTATTATGATATGGAATGCTACTCTCTGATGGAATGGAACACCGCGTAGTACGAGAGAGAATTGGCTTAGGACAAATTTCCTTGCGTAAACTGTCCCAAGAGTCCCAGTATAAATCTGAATCATTTTTTTCCGTACCTCCTCTTATCAGAATATCTAACAAAAACATAGTCGTATACACACACACACACGCACACGCACACACACATACGCGCGCGCGCGCGCAGGGTGCTTCATTTTAAGTAATACGGTCGATTATCGCGATTTGATGATTTTGATGACAAATTTTTCGAACGAAAGTTGCATGGCTTGAAGGGGGATACATGATAGAAATATGGATTTGATCTTGAGTGATCTTGTCAAAATCAGGTCAAGGTTATTAATGTTTTTTTTAATGGAAACCTATTTTTTATTACATATTTTTGTAGTTTATCTGAAGAGTTTTCCAAAACATTATAATAAAGTTAAATTTTTGTTAAGTACTTGTTAAGTTATAAGGCAAGACCGCTCACTGATTTGGCCGATTAAGGTAAGATCGGGACTGATCCAGCCAACTAAAGCAAGATCGATCACTGATCCGGTCGATTAAAGCAAGATCGATCACTGATCCGGCCAAACTAAGATCAATTCGATATTTCTCATAATAAAATTCATCTTATCTGCATTGCATTTGGATGTCGTCTAAATGGATATCTATTACGATACAATCTTTCTGTTTTAGAATATTTTTGTCCAGCTTCACCAAACACAAGAATATCAACGATTTTATTTGAACTGTAAGCGACCATTTAAAAAAAACTTTGTAAAAACTCACTAATGTAAAAAAATTGAAAGAAAAAGTTATGCAAAAAAAAAGAGGAAAATTGAATCATTCAATTGGAAAGGACTCAATTCCGTGAGCGTATGTCAAGCAATGTGGATTCCACATTTCCATCATGTGTTCCCCTTCAAGTCATGCAACTTTCGTTCGAAAAATTTTTCAATAAAATCATCGATTCGCGAGATAATCGAACATACATTAATAATCAAACTTAAAAATGAAACATCTGTGTGTGTGTGTTGTTTTATGTTATTCATGTATACAAACAAAATTTTGTCTATAATAATATAAAATTTTATTTACCAGTGTATTGCCATAGAATGTCCAATGCTTTACAAAGCCTACGACATTCTTCCTTGTAGTATATACAATTTTTATTTAACATACCCTTTAATTCAAGTTCAGACTTCTCCTTCAGGGCCTCAATAGTATTAACTTTAGAACAAACCATCTAAAATATTATAATGCGGAGCATTAAAGAAAAAAAATTAAAACTTGGTTTAATGTTATTTAAATTTATTTCTAGATAAATAAAAATGACATATTAAATTTGTAACAAATCATAAAGAATCTACTCATATCTGTATACATTGTTACCTGTATTGAGTCCTCAGTAAGACCAACTACCCTCAACCATTGTTCTAACAATGGATATTGTATCATGTCTGATGGTAATGAATCGGCCAATTTAGCCTTTGCCGCAAGTTGCTTGGAGTATAATTTTATTAATTTTGCCTACAAAAATGTTTAAATATATAGATATATAAATAGTTTAAATATAAATAGAACTTATTCAATATTACAGCTATTGTAATGCATATTTAATATTATTAATAACAAATTCATAACAAAGTTATGTAATTTATATTATATACATTAATGTAATTGTAATTTATATTATATATATTAATTTAAACTTGTTTATTTTCGTGATTGTGTGTTTATTTAAAATAAGAAGACAAACACAATGTACTAAGAATAAAAGTTATATCAAATATCTCATAATGTAATTTTCAAACTATAAATTTCTACCACTAAAAAAATCTTAATTATTACAATTGTATCTGAACATTATAAATAAGTTTCAACTAATGCTATCATATCTTTCAATGGAATGACATGACAAATTTTTCAATCACAGACTGAAAGCAGCGTATTTATTCAAAATAAACGTACAACGCTCAAACACGACATATTGCACACATTTTATATTGGGAGTAAAAATTATATATATTGAATTATATCCTAACTTTCCTAAGATCATAAATTTTTACCATAAAAATATCTTAAATAATTTTGAAATTATAAAATAAAAAATTGTAAATAAGTTCCAAATAACATTTATTTATATTTTTTAATGGAGTTTTTCAACGGAGTGATATCACAAATTTCTCATTTTCAGATTGGCAACTGCAGGTAAGCATTCTCAAGAACAATGTAAACATTGTAAACAAATGTTAAAAACAGCTGATGCTGTTGTATCGCAAAGTACGGCAGAACCCGAAGGCAATATTTTTCACCAATGCGACGAAGTCCAGAGGTTCTCAAGACTTTAAAGGAACGTCGGAACAGCACAGTTATAACTTGACGATCGACAGCGAGATGCTGCGCCGGGACGCGATAACCAGCGTAGACAGACAGATCGATCTTGATTTTCGCGCGCAAGGTACAGCCGATACAGCCGACCCAGCCGACCTTCGAGAAGTCCCTCACCTCCATTTGCCGTATTTCTTTCTGAGTGAGCGGAGCATTAACGGAGCACTGAGACCGCAAATCGTCAAGCTGATCAGCGGCCAAATTAATCATAGTTTGTGCGACGTCCATAGCACGTCGTATTTTCTCCACATTTCCATAGGCTGCCATTCCTCGCGCAACGGCCAACCTAATGCGTGGATTTTCATCGGTATGGGCTTTCACTTGACAGGCATAACGCCGACTACTCTTAATATCCCTGTCCCAGTCGTTTATTGTTACCGATCTACCGTATAACCAAACCACTTATCAACATTGACAACCATCTTGGCCGCCTGTCGATGACGTCAATCGATGCTACCGGGCTGTCCGCGAGCTTGACCGATCAGCACGTTCATTTGCCCTCGTTCACAATATGAGAAGAGAGAAATCTGAGAGAGAACATGACGGCCCAAAATCTGTAATCGCAAAATGCTGCTGCGCACTACTGCCCTCTAACAAAGTGGTTGTAAACTACATAGCAACGTTCACTTTTCTTATGATAACATTGTCCACTTTTCAAGGCTGGAGATGATTGATATTTGATTCATATAATCGTGTTAAGGTCTAACACAATAGACTCAGGCAACAGGAAATAACGAGCTGTCCAATCAGAACTCTGGTGTATAAGTTTGATATTATATCCCAAAGTTCTGATTAGACGGCTCATTATTCCCTGTTGCCTGTGCTTATTTCCTGTGCCTATTGTGTTTAAGCCTTTACATAACAATTGGATTGCATTTTCATGCTGACGCTCGACGTTCATTTTCAGCGTCAAAACAGGTAACGTGATCAAAATTGATGCTTGATATTCGTCAATTTTGATTACGTGACCTGTTTTAATGCTTGAATCGAGCGTCAGCATGAAAATGCAGTCTTATAATAGAAGTCTGTGAGTATTCCTCTCTCTATTCGACGGTAAGAAGGGAATACTCGAAAGTGATTAGTTAAATCCTTATAGATTATGCGACATACGGCATATGGCATATGGTTACGGTCAATGGCCTAGTTTCCATCGAGGGTTTAATCCGCATCAGAATGTAAAAACCAATCAACTATTAACTAGTCGAGTAGTTCGATTATTCTCCTGTTACAATCGAACGACAGAGGAATGTTCGACAGTAGTTGGTTGGTTCTTACACTAACTGCGTTCGGCAATGAAAATCTGAGGATGCAAGCGTCGGAATGCTCTTTTTTTACAGTGCGCGTGACATATGCTATAAGAGCATTCTGACGCTTCAGATTTGTATTATCGAACGCAGCTATTCTGATCCGGATTAAACCCTCGGTGGAAACTAGGCAATATAAACGCTATTCTGCTGCATGCCAGAAGTAGGCCCCTTAAGGCATGTTCACACTTCGATGGAAAAGCAGAAAGCGGTAAAGCAGTGGCCAATCAGAACTCGCGTTGGTAGTAAGTAGTACAAAAAGTCGAAATTGGCTGCATTCAGCAGAGAAAGCAGCTTTGCAACTGTTGTAAAATTCTTAAATATGATTGGTTTATACATTTAGATCTAATGAGAAACTAAGGGCAAGCCCAATTATATAGAAGAATTTTCAGCAGACTTAACAGTGAGTGAGCGCTCGCTGTTATTGGTATATTCTTTTAGACCCAATCAACATTTTAGATCTGGGAGGATACATCGATAGCAGCGCTCACTCAACTTGAGTGAGTCCGCTGAATGCACCCAATGTCAATTACCAGCACAAGTTCTAATTGGCTACTGCTTTTCCGTTTTCTATTTTTCCGTCAAGGTGTAAACGCGCCCTTACATCATGGTTGCGCTGTTTTCTTTGCTGAACGCAGCCATTCCCTAGAAACTGACATGGCCGTTCTTCTGTCATTTTAAATTTGAGTTAAACTGTATTATACGGCTACGTTAATGAGAGCTCATGCAAGTTAACGCAATTTTTCTCAATGAAATGTATCAATACACGTTACCATGATTGGGAATCCTGTAAATGTACGTCGTGGAAGAATGGTACTATCCGATTTGGATCAAATTAAGAAGAACGAACGTGATCGTCGACGAAGATTACGTTTGGAGCAGGTGCATTCATCGAAAATTTTCAAACTTTACTCGAATGAAAGGAATAAGAAATATTGAGTTACTGATTTCTTTTGATTAGAAATAAAATCTATATAAACAAATTGAATTGTCAATTTTTTATTTGTATGTATGTGATTGTATCCTATGTGCTTGGTACAATGTAAACATATGTTAAATTTAAAGTAACATTGTGCATTATAGGTTCGACAGCAGTCAAAGGAGATATCAAATCGACTTTTAGAACGCGCTAAGAAGATAGCGAGGGAAGAACTTAGCAAATTGGAGAAAGATGGAAAGTCGGAACTCAAACAGATGCATGATAGAAAAATTATGGACATACAACGCAAGTATCAGGAAGATTTGGAAGATATCGGTCAAGCTCATGTCTCTGCTGTTTTACAATTAGATGCAAATATGATAATAGAAGAAGAAGGAAAGAAAGATAGAATTATGGCTTTAAAAAGAGGAAAGGATGCTATGGAACGCATGAAGGAAACAAAACAGATAGATGATGCAGAAGCAGTTCGTCAGGAAAGATTACATAGAGTACGCGAAATAGAAAATGTAAGAGCTGCAATGATAGCTAAACTTCCAAAGCCACCCGAGGAAAATGACAGGATGGGAAGGAATACTTCCCAAAGCATAAATAAAGAAATTTTACATGAAGCATTAACTCCAAAAAGAAAGAATAAAAAAGTTCTTAAAAAAAAATCGCCTAGAAAAGTAAAAAAATCTAATCTAATGGAACAACAAAAAACATTATCATCTAAACCAGGTCCTTCAGGATTACAAAAGAAATCTTTTGTACAGTCTCCTGAGTTACCCTTAAGGAAAAAAATAGACAAATATATATCAGATCATATTGAGAATATTATTGATGATACAAGTGATGATCAAATCCCACGAAGTACAGTGCCGAATATGAGCATTATTTCAACTAAATCTGATAAAATAAAATACAATCCAGAAGATTATACACAAAAATCAGATGACACGAGCAGTGTCAGCAGTTCTAACAATTCTAGTTCAACCAGCGATGATTCGTCATATTTTTCTGATGCTATAGAACAAATTACATGCAATACAACTCCAAAAACTCCAGCTTCAACAGAGAACAAAATACGATCACAATGTGATCGCACTATGTGTCAGAGATATATTTATGATAGGCCTCTTCCTATGATTGAAAGAATTGATATCAGAAATGAGCCAAGTGCCATGGAAATGGCACAAGTAATAAAAAATGCAGAGAATATAGAAACGCATACATCCAAAAGTCATAAATTAAATGCTGAACATCGTGCCGAACGTCGTGGCGAAGATGCGATTTTGCGAGAGAAAGTACGGAGAGATTATCAAGCCCTCCTACAAAATCTAGATCATCTTGCTCAGGAAGAACGCAAGCTAAAAGCTAGTCAAATTCAATCTGCAGAAGAAGATACATGCATGCGATTACATCAGAGAAATAAATGTCAAGAAGAACATAAAAAGAAATTAAACCGTGCAACTAAGAAAATTTGCTGTACCGATAGTGTTCCAATCCGGCGCACTCATCTCACAGAAAGAATCATTACTTTACCAGTACAAAAGAAAGATGGCCTGCACAATGATGTACCTCATTGCACATGGGAAGATCCTCATCTTGTTAAACAGCAAGTAGATGTTTGTCATACTCAATGGAATAAAGATAGCGAAATGTCACGCGAAGAACAAGTATTGGATATGCTGAAAAAAATTGAAAGACAAAAAAGATTGTTGTTACAAGAATTTGGTACCAGTTTGCCAGATAATATATTTAATGTCAGCATGAAGCCGCTCTTTGAAGATAAAATGTCAACAAAAACATCAAATGTTAGTACTGCCAAGCCTTTGTCACCTGAAATTAAAGTTTTAAATATGTCTAGTAGTGACGAATGTATTAGAGAAGACCATAAGATGAAGAAACCCGATAAATCACCTATAAAAAAGATTGAGATTGCTGTTCAGACAGAAACAACGAGTCCACTAGACAAAATAAGTCCAGCAGAGAATAAGAGTGTACAAGTGGAATTATGTCAAGAAGATGTGCATATGCCACAGTCTAGCAGAGATACAATTGAACGAATACCGCATCCGATTGAACCAAAAATTACTATTGTTACACCAGAGACAGACAATAGTAGCAATGATTCAACAAGCTCTGAGATTAGTGGTATGATCATTGAAATTGACAAAAAAGAAATAATTGTAACACCTAAAAAGAAGAAAAATAGCATGAGAATGTCGAAGCGATCATCACCTCGAATTTATCAAAAAATTCGCTCAGCATCGGTTAGTTCTAAAGCGACATCACCTATGAAGAGATTCTCGAGAATTCAGTTAGGCTCTCGTTCGACTCCTCAAAAGAAAACGAAATGTTTGGATACACCAGATACAGCTACTAGAAGAGTTGATATTCACATGAGTGAATCTGCGCAAGTTGATGATGAGACAGATCCATCGCAAGAAACAAGAGTATCGATAGATGCTAGTGCAGAAAGCTCACAGACAATTTCAGGCCTGAACGATCAAGATCAAGAGGGTAAGCCGTATCGGGTTCAGACTCGAACGAAAAGATGGATTCGGATGAAAGATACTTCAGATACATCAACGTCATTTGCAAGCCCACCACCAATAAAGCCTAAATCAATATTTGATGCTCTGGCTAACGTTACGCCGATTTTAGAAATGCTAGATTCTCCAGGACCCAGAGAATTAAGAAGATTACAGGACATTAGTCCTGTTTCCACACCAGAAACTCCTTCACCACGTACAATGATGATGCCATCAAACATTCCACATCGTGATAAGATTAGTAGAATGCTTAGATTTAGTTTGAATGATTCTCAGATTAATAATAGTACTGTGATATCTTCAACACAACATGATCAGTCTACTTTAACAGATTCATTAGATGTTTGTCAGAAATCTGAAGATTCAAAACATATACCTGCTGTTTCATCTAAAGTTTGTATATGTAAAAATCTCCAATGTAAATTGTTACACTTAAAATTTGATGATATTCACGATTATGCTTTGAAAAATTGTCCTGAAATATTGCAAAAATACGAAGATCTACAAAACTTATGTACAGAAAGAATAGCATCTTTAACTGACCTCATTGAAAAAGTACGAAATGAACAAAAAGGTGAAGTACTAAAAAATTATTTATTTAATATGCTTAATTAACTTAATTTTAATTATCCATAATATATTTTTATGCTGTATTTTCAATTAATTCTACAATTACCATTCACATTCAATGAAACCATATACCATTAATACATTCAATGAAATAATATATTGAATATATTAATGAAA